GGCTCCCATAGCACCCTTTTGCTCCTGGGCGGCTTGCTGATCAGCTGCGGCTTGGTCCATTGCATCTTGTTGCTGTTTTCCATTCTGGTTTTGCTTAGCATCCTGAGCAGCCTGTCGTGGTTAGTATGTCATCTTGGTTCGTCATATGATTTTCAAAACATACCTCTTGGTCAGCCGCTGCTTGATCGGCTGCAGCACCGTCCTGTGCCTGGTCTTTACCCCCAGCCGCGGCATCCTGCTGTGCCTGTTGATCAGCCGCCGCTTGGTCCGCTGCCTGTTGATCATGGGCGTTCTGTGCTTGGTCTTGGTTCATGCCTCCGGCAGCCTCCTGTTGAGCAGCGTCTTGTTTTGCCTGCTGATCGGCGGCAGCTTGGTCTGCTGCTCCCATCTGCTCAGTTGCATTCTGCGCTTGGCCCTGGTTCATCATCCCAGCGGCCGCAGCATCCTGCTGTGCCTGAGCATCGGCGGCAGCTTGTTGCTCCTTAGCTAATGAGAATCAGTAAACTGTGTGGATAGGAAAGCCGTGAATCATACCTGCTGCAGCTTCTTGGGCAGCCTGCTTTTCGGCGTTCTTCCCCTTGCCCTTGCCCTTGCCCTGAGCAGCATCTTCAGCAGCGGCAGCATCCTGTGCCGCCTGATCCTGAGCGTCGTTGTTACCGGCAGCCGCAGCGCCCTCAGCGTTGGCTACCTCAGCATCCGCATTACCATTATCCTTGCCCATGCCGCCGCGTGCAGCCAAGAGCGCACCACGGAGCTTGAGGGCTCTCTCTCCAAACTTCTGTACAACGTCTTCCTCTCGGCGGCCGAAGTTCGTAGAAGGAATGACTACGTTCTCGGTACCAGCCGCGACTACAGGTCCCTGGCCCACAAAAGGTGCTGGGGCTGCTGCCACGAACGAGGCTGAAAGAAGGGTGAGAATGGAGATAGAAGTCTTCATAGTGACGGTGGGGATTTGATCTGGAAGGATTGAAACGAGGTGTGTCGAAACTTAAAATGAGCACAGCTCTTGAGAATTGAAATAAACAGATGGTGCTCTGCACAAAGGAATGATTTGGAAGATTGAAGCTGAGCGTGCCGTTCTATCCGCCCGAGGAGACTGGTTTATATAAGAGCGTTGCCTTATATGAGCTCACGAGTGCCTGAGAGAGGTAGTGCCTAGAATAGCTCAGGTCACGATTGTCGGGATGACCGTTCGTTGCCTGCCGTGCATATCATACATGCGCCGTTGGAGGATGCCTTGGAAAGACCAGGCTCAAAGGAAGAACATCGGCCATCCCCACAATTCTCTCACAGGCACGAAAGCCTCGTCTCGCATGGCAGCTGTAGATCAAGTTTGACATGCGATCGGGTCCGTAGCTTGGCTGGAAACGGTCGAATCAAACGCATGAAGGAGAGAGTACAATTACGGAAGAGAGAGCTGATGCAAGCTCCATGCCAGCATAGTCGTCGTAATAGCGAAGATCCAGGCTGGGGGTCGAACGTGTGTGGTTTGAGAACATGTTGCAGATGGAGCAGGGGCGATATATGCGGAGAGATATCTCCCTAAACGCATAAGTTTGGTGTATGACTGAGGTTCGCAGGCATAACATGGGCCTGAATCTCTGCCGGTTTCAGGCACACCGACGCGCCCACTGGAAATTCCGAGCGAACTGCTGGACATGCAAAGATGCAAAAACGTGCCCTTCCCGCTTCTAAGGGGGTTCCAGGCTCAATTCAACCTGAAAGAGCTTTGCGCCTCTGCTATACAATACTTGGTGTCGCGCGAGTACCTTGCTGCTGCTGTGGACTAATCACCGCTCCGTTGCCGGAACATGTACCGGAGGATCAACCCATGATAGGACGCGTAAACTCGTCAGCACAGAGATGTTGCTTCTAGAAGGTTTTGACGATGAAGATGTTCGGATGCGGTGACTTTGACATGTGCGGAGAGAAGGATGAGGAAGGTTTGGCCAATGACGTGCTCGGTATTGCAATCCCGCACTTAGCCTTGTAGCCTCGGCTGCAACTTTTAGACATCGTCATATCAAGGTTTAGCATTGGCGACGAGCGTACATGTTGAATGCCGCAATTCTGTCGCATTCCTCATCATTGAGCACTGTCAGTTCTGGCCTGTAGTGCGCCGCCGGTCGGTCTTGTAGGAAGCGCAAAAATCTGTCAAGTCGTTCACTTTCGCATTCAATTCCATCTGTTGGCCTCCCCAACAAGTCCTACACCATGGCCACCAGATCAGTCCCCGCATCCGTAACGCGGCAGTTGCTTGCAACCTCCCGATCCGCGCGTATATCGTCAAGACCCCTCGCGTGCGTACCGTTACCGAGACGGAATGTATCCGGCTTGTACCGTCCTGCAGTCCGAATTGCTGGTCAAAGAAGAGGCCTTTCCACGACGCCACGCACACGACTCGCCGCTGTGGACGACACATTCGACCCAAAGTCAATAGAACGCGAGTCTGACGAAGTGGATGTGCTCATTGTAGGCGGAGGTCCTGCTGGTCTGTCTGCAGCCATCAAGCTGAAGCAGCTTGCGACAGCGGCAGGCAATGAAGACTTTAGGGTTCTGGTGTTGGAGAAGGCGGGTGAATTGGGCGATCACATCGTGTCTGGAAATGTCATAGAACCGTCTGCGCTCGACGAACTCCTGCCCGACTGGAGGTCAGAGGACAATCTGAACCGCTTCGCCGACATCACCCCCGCCAAGGAGGACCACATGTACTTCATGACCAAGAACAGCGCAATCCCTCTACCCAAGCCTCCGCAGATGAACAATCATGGCAACTACATAATAAGCTTGAACCAGATGGTCAAGTGGCTTGGCGAGCGTGCCGAGGAAGTTGGTGTAGAGGTTTACCCTGGATTCGCTGCGTCGGAGATACTATACAACCACGAAGGCGTCGTACAGGGTGTGGCTACCAACGATCTCGGTATATCGCGAGAAGGCAAGGCCAAAGACTCATTCGAACGAGGAATGGAATTTCATGCACGCGTCACACTGCTTGGTGAGGGTTGCCATGGTAGTCTGTCCAAGCAAATCATCAAGAAGTACGACCTAAGGCGGGATAGTCAACACCAAACCTACGGACTTGGCATCAAAGAAGTATGGGAGGTACAGCCTGAGAAATTCAAGTCTGGGTTAGTGGTTCACTCCATGGGCTACCCACTGCCGAAAGACACCTACGGTGGTGGTTGGATGTACCACTTTGGTGACAACCTGGTCAGCATTGGTCTGGTTGTTGGACTCGACTACCCCAACCCGTGGTTGGCGCCCTATGGCGAATTTCAGAAGATGAAGCATCACCCGTATTACAAGGATGTATTAGAGGGTGGCAAGTGCATCTCTTATGGTGCGAGGACGCTGATTGAAGGCGGTTTCCAGTCTATACCTAAGCTCGCCTTCCCCGGTGGCGCGCTTCTTGGAGATGCCGCGGGCTTGCTTAATCTACCGAAGATCAAGGGTACACACAACGCCATGAGGTCAGGCATGCTAGCTGCCGAGGCAACTTGGGATGCCCTACAAGCCAATACCGACGGTGGTACCGTGTTCCTGTATGACTATGAGGACAAGATGCGCAAGTCGTCGATATGGTCAGAGCTCAAGACTGTGCGCAACATGCGTCCATCTTTCCATACTCCACTAGGCATCTACGGAGGCATTATGTATTCTGGCCTTGAAGCATACGTTCTTCGAGGCAAAGCGCCATGGACGTTAAAGCACGGCAAACCCGATCACGCAGCAACCAAGACTGCAGACGAGTGCCCGAAGATTGAGTATCCCAAGCCAGACGGTAAAATCAGCTTCGACATATTGACAAGCGTCAGCCGAAGTGGCACAAACCATGAAGAGGACCAGCCATGCCATCTTCAAGTCAAAGACTACGATGCACATGCTCAGAAGGAATGGCCCAAGTACAAGGGTGTCGAAAACAGGTTCTGCCCCGCCGGCGTCTATGAATACGTCGAGGATGATAGCAAAGAGCTGGGTGTCAGGTTCCAAATCAACGCCCAAAAGTAAGTTTAGCCGACCGAATCGCTGGAAAGCCTGCTGACAACATACAGCTGCGTTCACTGCAAGACTTGCGATATCAAAGTGCCCGATCAGGACATCAATTGGCAAACACCACAGGGCGGCGAGGGACCAAAGTACGTACTTACTTAATGTAGACGCCGGGATAGAGACTATGGCCCAAGCCGTGGTCCACGCGATCAGCAAATATGTACATTAGGAAGGATCGCATGTATACATACTACATATTGGCATCAGCCCTAGACTTGTTGCTGCCCAAGTGAACCTCGGATGTTTGTAGGGCTTGGACAGAGAGATTGATCCCCTTGTTCGGAAACCGATCAATACCTGGATAAACTCGAGTGTGTGCTAACCCTACGAACAAATGACAATCCATCCGTCTGGAATAGTTACACTTCACTGGTAGCCCTGGGAGGGCGAGCGGCCCCGTTGGAGGCAAGACGCACGTGATGTCCGTGCCCGAAGCTTGGAAGGCTAGGGCGAGTGAGGCGTTGGGCGAACTTCCTTCTCCACCCTTCGTCACCGTCCACCCATCAACTTCGCCGGGGCCTATTACATCAATAGCATTCCGGCCCTCATCTATATTTGCAATCCGTTGTCGCGACACTGGGCCGACTAATTCTCTGCCCAAGAATCGATTGCGCGACTTCTGCACTTACCCGGCTCCTTCCTGGTCCTCAAGCTCTCAGGTTCTTCACGGCCACCCTGCTTCCAGCGCCCGACTCTATCTCCAAGGTACGACTAGCCGCCTGTATTGTATGCACTGGAAATCCCTTGCGCGTCTCCCTGGTTCCTGTAGTTTCGCACGTCGCTGGACACTGGCTTCCTGGCGTCGCGTCTTTGATACCGAGGCAACCCGTCTTTGGCACGCACCATGCGCGCTCCCTCGATGGCTTCCCGCTTGCTCATGGACATTTGCTCACGATTCTCTTCAGACTAGGTTATCTTTAGGATAAAGCTCTACCGCAACAGCCGTCACTATGACCGAGGTATCGTCTACGCGCCTATACCTAGGCAACCTTCCTCGCAATGCCACCAAGGCAGATGTCGAGGGCCACTTCCAGACGCATGGTACTGGTGAGATCACTGAGATCAAACTCATGAATGGATTTGGCTTCATCGAGTACAAGGACGCAATGGACGCTCGTGATGTTGTCCCTGGTAAGCTTCAGCCACGCGCCAATCCATTGAACGCACGCTAACCTGTATACAGCATTCCGTACGTAACTTCTCGTGTATAGAAATCCGAACATACGTCCTAACTGATTCAAGATGGTTCCGACTTCATGGGCGAGCGCCTCATCGTCCAGTTCGCTCGCGGCTCGCGTGCCCGTAACGAGAACTTCACTCCCCACGAGCGCGTTCCCCCGCGTCCTAGGCGCACACCATACCGGATGAGAATAGCGAATCTTCCTGTGGAGACCAGCTGGCAGGTCAGACTCCCCGATCCTTGGATTCCTTCAGTTCCCTGTTAGCGCCAGTATACCGTTCCTGGACCAGTAATGGCTTTGTTCTCGCTTGCTTCCCGTTCTACGTTCTGGATTTGGGCCTCGCTTAACTTCGAATATATAGGACCTTAAAGACTTTGCCCGCCAGTCTGGATTGGACGTCGTCTACTCTGAAGTTGGCCGCGAGCGCGATGGCACTGGGTACGTAGGTAACACTGCAGCAAGTAACACGTACTAATCCACTGTAGATTCGTCGAGTATGAGACGGCCGCCGACCTGAAGACCGCAGTGGAGAAGCTGGACCGTCGTGAGTTCAAGGGGCAGGAAGTTACCTGTGTCCAGGACGTCTCCGATCCTCCCCCACCTCCACCTTTCAAACCGCGCGCTCCTTACGGAGGCCCTGGTGGTCCTGATGACCGGGGCCGTGATAGATACCGATCCCGCTCTCCCATGGGCCGCCGCGGTGGCGGATACCCACCTGCGCCCTACGATGATTACTACGACCGTCGCGGGCCACCTCGTGGCTACAGCCCTCGTCGCGATGACTATCGCCGACGCACACCTCCCCGCGAGTTCTACGACAGGCGTGATGGAGGTTATGGACGTTCGCCGCCTCGTGGTCGCATGCCTGATGAGTATGGCCCACCGCGCGCGCGTTACCCTGACGATCCTTATGATGCTAGGGCCCGACCTCCTCCCCGCGGTTACGATGACCCATACATGAACGGTCATGGACGCCCTTACGAAGGAGGACGACCGCCGTCCCCACGTGGTGCCCGTCCCCGTAGCCCCGGAGGCCGTCCGCCTTACGACGCTGCAGCGGCTGATTACCCACCACGTGGCCGCTACTAGACAGACGACAAAAGTAAGTTTAAGTCTATGCGTACTCTGTTTAGAGCACTTGCTGACAGTAGCTAGGTAGGCGTTCTTACTCCTGAAGACTACTCACCTCTCAGAGTATCTACCCTTGAGACTTTTCTACCCGTGGATATGTTTTATGCGATGACGGAGCTGAAAGACAAACGGAGGATCGATTGTGCTGCATGAACCCAATGAGACTGCTTATGTGTTTCCTGTTTCCTGGTTTCTTGGATGTTCCATGTATCTGTTGTTTCAATGCGATTTCTTCTTGGTTCACCGGCTGTCATGAGAGGGCAATTCCCTTCATGCTAGCTTTCCTACTGTTATCTCAGCTGCACGGGGCAGCCTAATTTTCTGTAACATTAAAAAGTCCTTTCAGTACACGTGGACATATTCATCTGATTGTGTGCGGTTATGGATTATCATGTACTCTATCTGTGGCTCTGCTTGCAGACTGGCCGCTATGAACACGAATCAAAGTATCCCGTACATGACTACTCCTCACCCAATATCGTTTTTCTGTTAACAATCATAGAGTCTGCTCTTCGAGTGCAATGTCGGCTTGCTTGCTTTGTCAAAACGACCTTCCTGGGTGATTGCTTCAGCCTCGAAGAGAGCCACTGACTATGCAAACTTGCTGTGTTGCAACCCAACACCTTGGTATTTTCATTGTAGAAATTCGTCCGTCTCGGTGATCGGGCCAACCCATGTTCCCGAGATTCTCTCAATATCACGTTGTCCTTCCCACCATTCGCTGGTTGCATAGTTGGGCCATGGTAGGTAAAGAGCGCTACTTGCAGGTGATGTAAGCCGAACGTAATGACTCACAGTATTCTCTGTGTTTCGTCTCGAAATCACAACACTGTAGACCCTGCAGGCTGTGATCCAGACTGAGAAATATCTCAGCGTACGATCAGGAGCAAAGTCTTGCTGCAGACACATCTGAAAGCCGCCCACAAACACTACAACTCTTCCTTGATCCCTGAATAATCGCAATATATTGGCACTACATTGGCCAAGACAAGACCAATCCTGTCGACCAAACAGAATTTCACGGCCAGTCAGAGAGTCGGCACTGGAACCATGCGCCAAGAGAACATCGCGATGGACAGGGGAGTTGCGCAGCGAACTGTGACACTAGATGTAATAACATTCTTGAGACAGATAGCGGTATAACAGAGGTTTGCGAGGTCTGAAGATAGTTGGTATTGTGCTATGGGTTCTAGAAGATGGTACTAGAGATGTTGATGCTAGTCGCAACCGTAGCAATAATTGCCTTCAATGACAGGATTATTAAGTTATATTTTATGTTCTGGATTAAAAAAAAGATGAGAAATATAACGAATGTGCCATTTTCCAACAGAACCTTGCCGATTATCAATGCAGAGTATATTGAGGAATGCTTACCAACGTAATGCTGCACCTATACAAGGTTTTCCGTTGTATCGCCGATAACGCCCTCGCCACACAACTGGAAGCCACACCCAGATAGCTGGATGCCAAAACGATCGTGAAATCAAAAAACCTTTCATAAGATATTTATGCATGTGACCTAAGAATCCCCACAAATGACGCTATACAATGTCAGAACCACAATATTTTGTATATTAAAGACCATGATTATGGTTCCAGTTCATATCTCAGTCGTAGAGACCATATCCCAGTCGTCGTCGCTGGCGTAGTCAGTGCCGCTGGCGGCTAGGATATCAAAAACAGGAGTAGGAACCATCTCAGGACTGGACATTGGCTCGTCGATTGTAGCCAGGGTGTGCGGTTTGGGTCGAGAGACTAAGGTGAAACCCTGGTCTTCATCGGAGGAGTCACCGTTGGGTGTTGGTTGCGTGGCAGGCGGATCGAAGAAAGCAGGTGCTGGAAAGCTAGTAGCTATTCCAGGGAGCTTGAACGTAGAAGTGCTTTCGGGGCGGCCGGAGTGAGAATCTACGGACTGCAAACCGACGTTTGTTTCTGCAAAGGTGACTCGCCGCTCGACCTTGGGCCGATGCACAAAGGTTGTAATAACTGAATCGACCATGTTGTCCTGACCAGCCTCTTCATGAGTTTTGGGTTGATTGGCAGTCCAGTGATCGCCACGCGGGTGGTGTGATTCGCGCAGAATGTCTACAGAATCGCCGCAAATCATCTCTTGTGGTAGGTCTCTTGAAGCAAGGACAGTCGGGCGAACGCAAGGCTGAGTCTGGAGGGTGTCAAGACACAACCGTATGATATCCTGTGCGCCTATTGAAGTTAGCCTGAATATCCCCAATAGCTACAGTGAATCTTACATTCATCCTCGAAATTGCGCTCCATGTTCATGCGACAGAGGTCCTGACGAAAGTCTGGAATATCGGCCGCAATCTTGAGAAACTCGGCCTCTTCGCCAAGTCTGTGGGCCAGAAAAGTTGAGATGCAGTAGTTGAGGAGTGTGTCAACAAGAGCATGTTGTCGGCGGGCCTTCTGACTCGCGTAATGTCGATACACGAAACGTATGGTTTCAAGCAAGTCTTGTGGAGGGGCAGGTAGAGAGCAGGCGAAATCAACCTGTAGCGAGATATTGCCATGCGCAAGTAGTTGTAGCTCGGCAACATCGAAGTCTTCGGCAATCTTGTACGTTTCGACGTGCGGAAGAAGCAGTATTGGCCCATACTCTGCTTGTGGAGGGAGATAGCTACCGGTGTAGCAGTAACGGAGAAGCGATATGATGGCATACTCGGACGGAGCCTCAAGGCTGGCTTGCAAGCGACTCTGGAAACCGTACTCGAATGCATGGTACAGTAGAGGGCACTTGTCTAAAAACTTGAAAGGGCAGATACGATCAGAGATCTCGCGAACCTCCCCGTTGGGAAGAACTACCTTCAACGTCGCATTGCTCTGACCTTGCTCGAGGTACGCGTCTAGGAAAGGGAGGTCGTCCATGTTGAGTGTGAACGGAAGGATACAAGAACGCGCACAAGGCTCGAGACCCAGCACTGACTTGGCATATACTTTCGAGCTTTTCGATTTATCTGAGTCGACCAGATGAGGCAACGAGGCTGCTGGCAAGGCGCAGCAGTGAGGTCAGCCCCAGTTTGTCGGCGTAGGCAAGTCAGAATTCGTGCGATAATCCAGAGTGATGTCGAAGGGAATGTTCAAAGTCTGAAACCGTGCAATGAATAGATAACTGCTGTCTGGGTGTCTGAGAAGGCTCAAGACTCGAGATGATTAGGTCCAGGCAGCCGTCTGCATGCGCAGGGCCAAGCGCCTGTACTTTGGGAGGCCGCCGGTTAAGGGTCAACGGTCAATGTAATGAAGACGTAGCAGCACCAGATTTTGCTTGATCTGGATTTGGCTCAGTTGATCACGATGTGACTGAATAACAAGTGGTATGGCAACGGAGGGGCATGGAGCCTTGGGAGCTGTCTCCCTGGAGGGGTGGGCATGCTTGCCAGTATGCCGGACATGCCTTACTGGCTTCGCAAAGCTAAGGCCGAGTTGCCACCCAATCAGAGTAACAACCATTGTACAGCCTCACATAAGGCTGAGATGTCAGCTGCATCTAATGTTGAGGGTTGATGTTCAGTGGTTGGTGTTGGATCGGTGATGGTGAGCCCGGTACCAAGCTGGGGAAAGCTTCAGCCACGACCCACTTCGGTCCACATCGCGGCGGCGGCTTGATGATGACGGCCGATCTCTCCACCAGACGTAGACATCACCCATCTTTGTCGTTGGAATTTGGTGTCGTTGGTGGGCGACTATCGTCAATTCAATTGCAGGCAATCAGTGTATCTCCAGACCCTCTATACCTCTCACGCGGCCCTTATCCCCAGCTTCCTCTCTACCAGTGCACACATCCGCTACGCCCCGCCATGGGATTTCTCTCTATTCTACCTGCGAACTTGGCCGTGGTAGAAACCTGGATCACACGCGTATTCGTGAGTAGAACAAAGCACTCTCGATTGGGCTTTGCCTTCTCACAGTATAATAGCTCTTTCTCGGCCTCGTAGCCATCGGCCCATGGGCAGCGCTGCTCGTCTACGACCTACTCCTATACTGCTGTCGCGCTGGCGCATACGAGATACCTTTCATCGGCGGACGCGCTCGCGGAAAAGCGAGACCTCGTGCCCCAAGCCTCACTGAGCGCCCGAGCGGTCACCGTCGGAAGTTTAGTATTGCCTCTCGAGGTATAGACCGGCCGGTGCTGAGTACAGGGGGCATGGAGGCTGACTCTCAGGATGCCCGACATCGTCGTATAACAGAAGAGAAGACGGCGCATTCTTCGTGAGAGTACAATCAGAGACCAACGCACAATCGAACCTCGTTTGACGCGCTCCTGCTGGGTTTTTGTGAAAAAGAGCTGGATCTCTGGGCGTGTCTTTGGATACAGGTGATTCAAGAAAGGTTTCAGAATCTCAGATGCCCGGGCCCTGACATAGAATCTCACCCGCAGAATGGTAAACTTCGAGGTACAATCACCACAGTGCAAGTCGTTCAAGCACTAAAGGACCCGTTGCGCCCCTGTTACGACAGACTAAGATGCGTTGTAGATGTACGAGGATCCGTATGGCTACGCGAATGACTGCGTCATGGTGGCCCAATCCCGTCCGACTGCCTTGGAAACGGCATTGAGCGTCCCCGAAGACCAACACGCTGCTCACATCAGCTCTATGGTTTGCGAAATGGGGTTGTCCACTCCCTTAGGCATGATCGCGCGTTCCATGCCGCTATCCCTCGCTTCCGGAAAGATTGTTTAGGGGCGCATATTGCTACATGTTTCATGTGATGACAAGCACCAATCGCGTGAGACCATATTTCCAACGTCGCGCAAGCATCTGGACAGGCTATTGAATCCATCGAGTAGATGCGTGGTAAACTAAGTAAAGCTTAGCGCGGTCTGGGTCGCGCCTTCTGTCAATAAACCTTCAGTTCACACTTACCTCTCATCAACGTTACAACTACACCTCTACTTCACCATTCACACTAGAAGCTCTTCTAATTTGACAACTCTAATACAACAT